TCCTATGGAGCAGTTCTACTCTGTCCTATAGTGTGGTTTGAGTTTGAAAGACTCCATGGCAACTGTTTATTTTGGCAAAAGCCAAATGGGCAAGCCGATTGAAAAGGGTGTGGTCTATCGCTTATTGGCAGCAGAATGTGTGCTGCCTGGTGAACCATTACTCAACCATTACCCTGGTGAACCAGTGTCTACTCAACCAATAAGAGAAATGAAGTCCTGCTACACCATGGATGAACTTTGAAAACCTACTAAGTGAAATAAGTCAGTCACAAAAGGACAAATATTGTATGATCCCACTTATATGAAATATCTAGAATTGGCAAATAAAGACCAAAGTTTATTAGTAGTTACCAGGGCCAGTAGGAAGGAGGAAAAGGGGAGTCATTGCTTAAGAGGATAACAGAAAAATTTGAAAACAGATAATGGCGATGTTCACAGAACATGATGAAGGTAATTAATGTCAACTGAATTGTACATGTAAAACATGTTGACACAGCAAATATCTTGTTATATATATATTATTACATTAAAATACTTTAAAAATGAATTATGTATATTTATTATTATTATAAGGAGTCCTGGTAGGCAGTGGTTAAAGTACTCAGTTGTTAACCCAAAGGTTGGCAGTTCAAATTCACTAGCAGGATAAAGATGTGGCAATCTGCTTCTGTAAAGATTACAGCCTTGGAAACCTTCTGGGGCAATTCTATTGTATCCTATAGAGCTGCTATGAGTTGAAATCCACTGATTGCAATGGGTTTTTGGTTTATTGTTAATTATAGAAGAATGCAGCACAGAGGATGGCTCTACAGTGGACACTCAGTGGGTACCTGCTAAGTAATTGAGTGAAGGAATGAATTGTAAATGTAAATTGCTCATTTAATCCTTAAAAACCCTCTATTATCTGTCTTTTCACTTCTATTTTTCTTAGAGAGCTAATGGGAGATACTAGGAATGTAAAGATGAATTAAAATAGATGTACTCCAAAGGAATTTTTGAGTCTGATGATGGAGCCAGACATACACAAAAATTATATTATTATATAATACAACACATAGCATAAGTCCTAAAAGTGAAGTATAAACCAAGTTCCAGTGAAACTCTAGGAAGTAGTTATTTCTAAAGGGCTGGTGGGGATAGGGAGATTTTATGAGGGAAGTGACATTCGAATTGGATACTGAAGGATGAACAGAGTTTATGAGAAGAGGAGAAAAGTAAGAGCAGTTTAGAGTTCTGGAACAATCTAATGAATGACAGGTAGAGAGAGGGTTGTGGACAATTTGTAACCTATTCATGGGGACAGCTACCAATCGTCAGAAATACATTACTTCAACAATGAATTATCTTGTTCCTGCTTTATTTATAGTTGAATAGAGAAATAAAACAAGTACATAAAATACACAAAAAACTAAAAAGGAGAGCTTTATTCCGTTTTGAAGATTCTTTTGGCTGCAATGCTCGAATCTCTCCTAACAAGTATTCAGAATTGCGTTTTCAAAATGTGATCAAGAGAGGGCAGCAGTTAGAGAAATCCTGCATGTCTACCCTCAAATTCTACTTAGCTTCTGTGTCTCAGCTAACGCAAAGAATTGTCAAGAATACACTGGATAAAGAATGCATAGCAAGCACAATATCCAGTACCTATGTCCTAAGTTAAATATTTAATAAATAGATATATGCAGTGTACTTTTAAGTTTTCACCAGACAGCACACGCACCGCTGTCAGTAAGCGATAGACCACACCCTCTTTAATCGGCTTGCCCATTCCTTGGTTTTTGACGAAATAAACAGTTGCCATGGAGTCTTTCAAACACAAAGCTACCTTATAGGACAGAGTAGAACTGCCCCATAGGACTCCCAAGGCTGTAATCTTTACAAAGAAGCAGACTGCCCCAACTTTCTCCCTATCCGGAGCTGGTGGGTTCTCTATCTTCCAGTTAGCAGCCCAGAGGTTTAACCATTGCACCAGCAAGCCGAAACAGCTTCCACCCTCAGCAAAAGCTCATTGTGTCCGCCTTCTCGCAACATCATCATCATCAACAACAACAACAACAACAACAAATAACCCACTTTAAATCTGGCGCAGGCGCCTCAGGTAGTGGCGACTAGATTTTAAAATCCATTCAAAAGGACCAATCAGACGCGACATTTGAATACAGGAAAGCGGATTGGTCTGACAGATGCTTTTAAAAGACCAATAGGCTTAGAGATGATTGTAGTCGGACCGGAAGCGGGTGAATCGGGAACGGGTAGCGGCCGCGGGCAGTTTGAATTGGAAACTGTGCTCTAGACCTTGGACGTTGTGTCGGAACCGGACTCTCTGAGTTTCTTTTCCCGTACAGCAGCAAGGTGAGCGTTCGGCCTGGAGCTTCCAGCTCTGGCCGCAGGCATGAGGGAGCCACCAACTTTCTGCCCGGCTACGTGGCTGTAGAATCGGCCCCCACGTGAGGTTTTTAGGCGTTTTTCTGCGCTCTTTTGCTGCAGGTTAAGTGGGGTTGTGGGGTTGCACTTGTGTCTTCAGTCTTGCTCGGTCACAAACTCGCGCTTTAGGTATCCTTCTAAGTCCAGGAGCCAGTGGCTCCTCTTGAAAATTTGGACCCCGGCCCTTTGTTGTGTTGAGAGGATGCAAGCTTATTGTTAATGACTAGAGCTTTTCACACTTCCTAATTTTTTTTTTTTTGTCCTTTATACATTTATTTAGACGCATCTGTGTGTCAGGCTCTGCAATGTGATAAGAACCTAGAAATAAATGATACAATTCTATCCTTGAGACTGGTCTAGAGGAGACCGTGGCTATCACTCTGAGACCCAGCTGTGGCTCAGTAGGCGGGGACTAAGGTTTCTAGGTGGAGAGGGGAAATTCTGAGATACGGAAAACACTACTGCAGTGCAGGGGGTGGTTGGGTCCCGTAAGAGTTTACCAAACTTGTGGATTGAAAGGGGTTTGGATGATGTGGGCATGAAGAGTGTCCTCTACATATTTAAGATAATAAAGGTACAACATTTTCTAGAGGACGACTGGCCTGAAAATCCTTCCAGGGACCTTAGCATCCAGTGCTTTCTTCATCTTACATCTTTCATTTGAGGTTCACTTTTTTTTTTTTTTTTCCCCTTTGCTCCCACTGGCCTGATGTAAAAGGTTGATGGGTGTTACCTTGATGTCCCAGTCAGCTTTAATCACAATTTGTTTGAATTTGTTGATTGGTTTAAAGTTTGTATCTTAGACTTTGAAATGGAAAAGCATTCAACTTGGCTTCTTCTATTTCTCTTACAGCTGTCATCTTTCTAACTCACTCCCTTTTAATCTAGGAGTTGATTTAGTTTAAATACAAAACAAAACAACAAAAACACTAATCCTTTTCACCTTGTTGCCAAAATAACTGGAAATTGAATGATTTTTCTTTCACTTAAATTCTAAAGGCTAATGAATAAGAAACAAGTGCCATACTCCTCCCAGGTGATTTCCTAAGATGTGGTTGAAAAGAGACAGGGAACTTCATTCTGTACTATAGTCTTAGAAAAAAAACAAACTCATTCCCGTCCAGTTGCAACTAATAGCTAACCCAAGAATGGGTTTCCTAGGCGGTGTCTCTGCGGAGGTAGATTGCCCAGTCTTCCTTTGCAGGAGTGGCTCTTGGGTTTGAACTTCTGGTGGCACAGTCGTTAAAGCACTTGTCTGCGAACAAAAAGGTCTGCAGTTGGAACCCGCCACCCGCTCCGCAGGAGAAAGAGGCAGTCTGTTTCCATAACGATTTACAGCCTTGGAAACTCTGTTTTTGGTATAGGATTTGGTATAGAGGGACTAAGAATGAGAGGCCTTCATCCTTATAATAACCCTAAGAAGTCACCACCATTATTATTCCCATTTTATAAATGAGGAAACAGAAGCACCAAACCAAACCCTCTTCCATGAAGTCAATTGGGACTCATAATGACCCTAGAGGGTAGGATAGCCCTGCCCCATAGGGTTTCCAAGGCTGTAAATCTTTACAGAAGTTTGGGTTTGAACCACCAACCTTCTGATTAGCAACCAAATACATTACCCACTAAGCAACCAGTGCTCCTTTAAACAGGCATAGAGCAATTAAATAACTTGCCCAAGTTCACACATCTTGTAAGTAATTGAGTTGGGATTCGAATTCAGCTTTGAATCCTTAAGGTTCTGCACCTGTTTGCTGGTCAAGGTCTGTGTGGAGCCTGACTTTACTACCTTATGCAATGATTCTAGTAGTAATAAGGCATTCACTCTTTGTTCATTTATTCATTTCTTGTATTAATTCAATAAATTATAACTTCTGTGAAGAGAAAAAGAGTACTGGTGGTATAGCGGTTAAAACATCTGGCTGCTAGAGAAAAGGTAGATGGTTCAAACCTACCAGCCTATCTGTGGAAGAATGATGAGACAGTCTGTTTTCCTAAAGATTTACAGCCTTGGAAACCACAGGGGGTCGTTACGAGTCAGAATCCACTCCATGTCAGTGCGTTTGGTTTGGGAGGAGAAAAGGGTATCTGAGAAACTATAACCACAACTGTGTTCGGGTTAGACTTCCAAAGCCTTCTTAGAGGAAGACATAATTGAACTGAGGGACTAAGTATGATTAGGGAAGAGGGAAAGAACATTTGCAAAATAACTTGTTATGCATTTTATTTATTTCTGGGGCCTAACTCACCTGCAAACTTTATAGCAAAATATTAATGTTTTGTATAACAAAAATTGACCTGTAGAAGTCAGGTAACCTTTATAAAAACTGAAAAGTAAACTGGAATGCAAGGGGAGGCCAACCAAGCATATTACGTACTTTATAATGAAAGCTATTGCTTTTAGGGCATGGAGAAGGTAGAGAATATACTTGGTTGTCTTTTTAAATGTGAAGTTTGTAACTTGAATTCTTAGAGGTGGTTAGGTTGCTCTCTGAGACTACGTTATAGTAAAACCAACTGGCTAGTTTTTCTTTTTCAGTTATTTCTAAATGTTTGAATAATAAAGAAGGGAGGACAAAATGAGCTGGGCTTTAGAAGAGTGGAAAGAAGGCCTGCCCACAAGAGCTCTTCAGAAAATTCAAGAGCTCGAAAGACAGCTGGATAAACTAAAGAAAGAAAGGCAGCAAAGGCAATTTCAGCTTGAAACTCTGGAGGCAGCATTGCAGAAACAAAAACAGAAGGTAACATCGCCGAAACTGGTATTTAAAACAGTTTGCTCATTATTTGGATTACTTAATTTATTTTGATCTTTTATATTTAGAGCAAAATGATTTTGCTATCCTTAGGTCTTAATTCCCCTTTCCTCTTTTCTTTTAGTCATTTAAAATTGAATTGCCACTAAATTTCTCCATTCTCTATCATTTTTGCTTGTCTTCTAATATTTAGAGGTGCTCTGGTGGTGTAGTACATAAGACATTTGACCGCTAACCAGAAGAGTGATGCTTCAAACCCACCAGCCACTCCTTGGAAGGAAGACTTGGCAATTTACTTGTGTAGAGATACTGCTGCAGAAACCCAAGGAAGGGTCTCTATGAGTTGGAGTCTAATAGTTAGGGTTACTGAGTTCCACTTAGCTTCCATTTGGGACTGTCAACTGGAGATTGCTTTTGCATTTTGAGCCAAGAAGGCCAAAGATCTCTGGCTGTGACTCTGGGGATGACATTAGAGCATTTTACAGTTCAAATGGATGTTGTTTTTTGAGAGTGTCTTGGAATTTCCAAATTTCTTTAGGATAAGAAACTCTGGAGGCAAAGTTCCTAAGGCATTTGTCTGCTAAGCAGAAGGTTGGCAGTTCAAACCCACCAGCTGTTCCATGGAAGAAAGATGGAGCAATCTACTTATGTAAAGATTTACCACCTTAGAAACCCAATGCAGTTCTCTGAGTTGGAATTGACTCCATGGTAGTATCCCGCCCCCCTTAGGACTACTTCTATATTAGCCAACAGAGTAGTGATACAGTCACTACTACTAAATGATTTTGCTTGTGGGAGAGTTGTCTGCTTTTCTTAGAGTAACTGGCTTTAGCAGCTGAACTTGGAAATGAATTGTTAAGGGAGATGTATAGCTTTTTTGTTTTGATTTTTAAAATTAAAAAAATTTCATTGTGGTAAAATATACACTGGATCAGAAACCAGAAGTTGTGTTAAATATGTATAATATAAAATTTACCATTTTAACCATTTTGAAGTTTACAACTCAGTGAAATTAATTACAGATACCATGTTGTACAAACATCGCCATATTTCCAAAGCTCTTGGCTTAGTCCAAACAGATACTCAGGACCTATTAAGCAATAACTTCCCATTTCTCTTCCCCACCAGTGATTTTTTTGATTCTTGAAAGGACAGTAAAGTCTTGCTTAAGAAGGTTATATGCAGCCCTGAATGAAGATAAGGTCATATGTGACTTTTCAGAACTTTTCTACCTATAGGCTTCAGAGTGTGGTCGTCTAATACATGTCTATGTTCATATACCAATAACAACTGGATTATTACAGCCAACTCAGAAAATGGGTAGTCAATGTCAAACTCCTATTTATCAATAATATTTGGTAAATAATGAAATAAGGGATGTATTTCCTTCTGAATGATCCCTATTAGGTTGAAAATGAAAAAACAGAGGGCACAAACCTGAAAAGAGAGAACCAAAGCTTGATGGAAATGTGTGAAAATCTAGAGAAAACAAAACAGAAGATTTCTCATGAGCTTCAAGTCAAGGAGTCACAGGTGAATTTCCAGGAAGGACAACTGAATTCAAACAAAAAACAAATTGAAAAACTGGAACAAGAACTTAAAAGGTAAGTTTTTTGAATGAGCTTTATATGGATTTGGTTTGTATGTACTTATAAAGTACCTTTATCTTTTTCTTTAATAATGTTACTATACATTGCAGTGTATATTTTTTTCCCAATAGAAGTAACAATGATTTGAGAAAATGATTCTACAGTTGCTGTCCAGTTGATTCCTGTTCATGGTGACCCGTGTGTGTCTGTAGAACTGTGCTTGATTGGGCTGATCTTTCGGAAGTAGATCACCAGGCTTTTCTTTCCAGGTGCCTCTGAGCTTGTTAATTGTTTGTGCTACCCAGCACTCATGTAATATGATTATTAAGCTACTATAAAGCAGTGCTGGTTAGAGAGTTTTAGGCAAAAGCATGCTCATTATTAAAAAATAAATCTGAACCACATCAAAATAGAAAATAAAAAGGAAACAGCAGTAATCACTGCAGAGGTTAAAGCATTTGGCTGGTAATGAAAAGGTTGGCAGTTTGAAATGGGGTAGTCTGTTTCCCTAAAGATTTACATCCTTGGAACCCTGTGGGGGCAGTTCTACTCTGTCCAATAGGGTTCCTATGAGTCAGAATCTCCTCGGTGGCAGTTGATGTGTGATTTTTTTTTTTTTTTTTTTTAAGCTACTATATATGGTGTAGTGCCTAAGGCATTTGACGGCTAACTAGAAGCCTGGCAGTTCAAACCCACCAGCCACTCCTTGGAAGGAAGGTTGGGCAATCTACTTCCATAGAGATACCGCCTTGGAAATCCAAGGAGGGGTCACTTTGAGTCAGATCCACCTCGAAGGCAGTGCATTGCGTTGTTGCATTGTTATATGTGCTAGACACTTTATTTGTCACTAGGTGGCACAATAAATAATATGCAAATTATCAACTGATTACTGCTATTTTCCTTTTTACTTTATGTCATATCTTGATGTGGTTGGAATTTTTTTTTTTTCTTTTATAATGAGCATGCTTTTGACTAAGTAACAACTGTTAGCATTGTAGGGAAACAATGAAAGGGAAAAAGACAAGGTAGACATAGTTCTTGTCCTCATGACTTTACTTTTTAGTGGAATATTTAGGCAAATCAATTGTCTACTTAGTGTTATCAGTGAAAGTGTAGGATGCTGTGGGAGCCTATGACTGGGGGACATATGAAGAATGGTCTCAGCAGAGGGAACTGTATGTTGAGAAGCCTGAAAGAGTAGTTCAGGGAATTGAGTAAACAGAGGCAGTGGTGAGAGATGAGGCTAGATAACTAGAGGGGTGAGCTTATGCAAAGCCTTGAGCATCACCTCCCAAACCAAAAGCAAACTAAGTACCATGGAGTCGATTCTGACTCATAGCGATCCCATAGTATTTCCAAGACTGTAAATCTTTATGGAAGCAGATCGCCTCATCTTTCTTCTGTGGAGTGGCTGGTGGGTTCGAATCACTGAGTTTTTGGTTAGCAGCCAAATGCCTTAATCACTGCACCACCAGAGCTCCTTGAGTATCACCTCTAGGAATTTGGAATTTATTGTGGAACAATAATGATGAGATGTTTGTTTTAGAAAAATCACTGTGACTGCCATGTGGAGAGTGGTTGAGGGGAAACAGAACTGGAGGCAGGGAGAGCCTTTGGGAGAGATCTAGTAGAGAAAGAACAGGGTATGCGCTTGGGTGGTGGTTGTGAGAGTTGAAAGAAATAGATGAAAATGTTACTTAGGAGGCAAAATCAATAGGTCTGGGTGATTAGTTGGATGTGAGGGAGGACAATGAAGGAAAAAATGATGATTGCTTGGCTTCAGGCTTAGAGAGCTGGGTGGAGGTGCTGTTCACTGAGAGTATAGATTGGGGAGAAATGTGATGAGGTCATGGTTTGATACAGGATTTGAGGTCCCTAGCAGACATTAAATAGAAATGACCAGTAGATAAGTAAGATATGCAGATCTCAAATATGGAAGAGAGTTTTGAGTTAGAGAAACAAACCTGAGAGCTCTCAGCATATAATTGAAGCCCCAGGAATAATTTGGATTGTCTAGGAAAATTGTGGAGAGTAAGAAGAGCTACTGTAGAACGTTGAAAGATACCATCATATAAGAGAGTCAGAGATAGGAAAAAGATCCTAAAAAGAAAACGGAGAAGCTAGGGAAGTGGATTGACAACTGGGAGAATACGGTATCACTGATGTCAAGAGAAGAGGGACTTTCAAGAAGGAAGGAGCAATCATGGTCTCAAAATTGTATGGAGGAATCAAGTAAGATGAGACTGCTGGATTAGCAACAAAACGGATATTGAAGACTTTGGAGAGTAGTTTCAGTGGAGGAGTGGACGTGGCAGCCAAGGAGGCTTGGGAGGCGAGGAAATGATGCCAACTTTCAGAGCTTGGCTATAAGGGAGAAGGGCTTATGCCAACAGAGGGTGGGTATGGTGAGACAGGTACTTTTATTAGAAATGAGAGAGAGCATTGAACATATTATAAATCTTGTCTTCATCAATACTAGTTCTTATATGTTAATAGAAAAGAGAAGACAGAATAAGATATGGTCTCTGAGAAAGTAGATGATGATGGGCTTCCAACAAAGGGGAATGGATTAACTTTAGAGATTTTATTTATATGTGCACTGTAAGAGGATAGAGGGAGGAAAAGGTGAATGTAAATGTAGTCAAGATTCAAAAGATGGAAGAAAGTTAAAGCATGACTTACACTGATGATGGCTTATGTTTTCTTTGGAAACGCTGCTGGAGGTGAGGACTGGAGAAGCAAAAGGGTTGATGAGCACTCATGGCCTAGATGAGGTTGGAGATCATGTATTTATAGTAGGCCTGCTTTTTTTTTTTTTCCTTTGTTACTTGTTTGACATTAATAGAATATTTTTGTTAGACATCTATGCTGATTAGATTTGTTGCAGAGTCATTCTCAGCTCATACATTGCCTCTTTATTCTTAGAGTTTGGAGCTCTGGTGGTGCTGAGGTTAAAGCATGGGCTGCTAACAAAAGATCAGCAGTTTGAACCCACCAGCTGCACTGCAGGAGTAAAATGAAGCAATCTGCTTCTGCAAAGATTTACAGTCCTAGGGAACCTACGGGGCAGTTCTACTCTGTCCTAAAAGAGTCGCTATGCATCCGAATCGACTGAATGACAATGCGTTTGGTTTTCTCAGAATTTAGAGCTCAGTGAAACTAAGGGCATTGAGACACTTTCTTTTGTGTTTTGTTTTTTGACCATGGAACAATTTTACTGCTAAGTTAGTACAGACAGTTCCCATGGCCCTCTTCCCTAGATGCCCTGATGCTACCATCTCACATACCCATGATGCTCTTGTCACTGTCAGCCAGAGCCCTGACTTTCTTCAGGGTGCTCAGTTCTTCTGCTCATGCCTTTCTCTGTCCAGGACCCAATCCAGGATCCCATGTTGCTTTTAGTCTGAACTATTTGAAAGTAAATGCCAGACAGCATGTCATTTCACACATCAGTACTTAAGCATGCACTTTCAATAGCTGGGCACTTCTGCAACACAGCACAAACACTACCAGGTTCCAGGAGATAAAAGGCATAGGGACACAGCAGAGGACACAAGGGGGTGCAAGCAGCCAGGTCCGGACCTCAGGACATGGGACATGATGAATGACTTGACTTTGGCATGAGAAAGAGTGCAGGAGGAATCATTTCAGAGTTTGAAAGACCTAAGACACTTATCCACCAATGCTTGCCTGCATCCACATTGGACCAGCAATTTGTATAGCCTCTTTGGGACAGTGTGGAAAAGTGGAGACACTTTCTTCACTTAGTTCTTGGAGTAATGTGCCCAAGGTGGAGAGACTGGTGCATGTCAATGGGGTGTTCATTGTAGCTCTATGTTTAGTTAAAATCAGAAACTTGAAAAGGTTGAGCCCTCTGACAATGTGGTTGGTTGGTTCTGAGAAGTGTTTAGAACTTATGTGAATGGTAGGGATATTTCTGAGCACATATAGTATATAACCTACTTTCCTCATCATTATAATTGTTTGCAGCCATGTCTTCTTGAGGGCTTATACCAACTTATTTTTATGTCAATGTTTTACTTATTTTTAATTTTCAAAAAAGTAAATTTATTTTACAGAGTTAGTAAATATGGAAATTTTATTTATAAATATTGATAGTAGTACAAGCAAAAACCAAACCCATTGCCATTTGAGTTGATTCTGACTCAGCAAACCCCATTGGCTTTCTGAGGTGGTATATCTTTAGAGAAGTAGATCACTCCATATTCATTCCATGGAGTGGCTGGTGGGTTTGAATTGCTGACCTTCTGGTTAGTAGTTCAGGGCCCACTTAATTAAATTTGAATGTGTTTTATGTATTAAATATAATTTTTATGTTACTTATTCATGTAAGATATTTTGTATGTATTACTTGATAAGCAAAGGCAAAATAGCTGTAATTTTTTTTAATTTCATACTTATTTGTTGTGATTTGGGTAAAAGTTTACAGAGCAAATTCATTTTCTGTGCAGCGGTTCATACACATTTTGTTCCATGGCATTGACTGCAGTTCCCCACAATGTAGCAGCTTTCTTCCCACTTCCTCCCTGTAGTTAATTTTCCCCGTATGCATTCTTGCCCCTGAGCTATCTCCCTGTGCAAACACTGCCCTTCTGTTCTCCTATGATTGATCGCTCTAAGGAGTTATCTACCTGATGTAAATGTTCATCCTATGTTGTTGTTGTTATGTGCCCTCGAGTCAGACCCGACTCATAGCGACCCCTCCTTGGATTTCCGAGGCAGTATCACTACGGAAGTAGATTGCCCCATCTTCCTTCCAAGGAGTGGCTGGTGGGTTTGAACTGCCAGCCTTCTGGTTAGCAGTCAAGTGCCTTAGCCACTATGCTACCAGAGCTCCCGTTCATCCTATATGCCTGTCTGTTGTTTGGCTGGAAGCCACAGGGGTGAGTCAAGTTCCAAGCCTAATGGGTAACTAGGGGCTGTAGTCTCAGGGGTCTTACCAGGCTATATCAGACCAGTAAACCTGGTCTTTTTTATGATACTGAGTTTTTTTCCACATTGTTCTCCCACTCTATTCAGTATCTCCTGCCCTGATCCTTCTTCAAGTGGTTGACAATGGTAGCCAAGCACCATCTAGTTCTGATTTCATGGTCACATAGCCTGAGGATTGCATGTTCTACTAGTCCCTTGGACTAATTGTGTGTCTTTGGTTTTCTTCATTCTTCTTTGCTGTGGATGAGGAGAGACCCATTGTTGCATCTAAATGGCCACTGTAACCTTATAAGACCCCAGTTGCTACTTATCACAGTAGGATGTAGAATAATGTTTTGTGTAGGATGTTATACCATTTGAGCTTGATGTCCCCTGCGTATATCTGTGTTTTAAAAAAGTCACATATGCATGATACTTATGTAAAATCTATGCTTCTGTCATGACTAAATAAGTAATCTTGTCCATTCTAATGACTTAAGCCCCATGCTCATAGATGCCAGTTTCTTCCCTTGTTTCTGATTTGTGGTTTTGTTTTTCTTTTCTTTCTTTCTTTCTTTTTTTTTTTTTTAAATATCCCTGTGTCTTTCTTTGACTTAGAATATAAAATTTGCTTAGACTGTAACCCTAACCTTCCAACTCTTCATTGTTACTGTAGTGGTCAGTACAGATCTTCATTAGAGCCTTTACTACATTGTCATTACTGGTTTACATTTTGTTTCCTTGATTAAACTGACTTCCTTTGACAGGGGGCTGCATTATGTCTGGCCCATTGGTTCTTCATAAATGTCTTTTGGGTAAAGGAAGTGGTAAGAATTCTTAGAGGACTGAATTTCTTTTTAAGTTGATTACTGTCTGGGAATGCATAGCTTTATTATTCTGTAGCCCTTGCTCTAACTGATTTGGTGTCTTCTTGGGCTTTTTTCTAACAGGTGTAAATCTGAACTTGAAAGAAGTCAACAGTCTGCACCGCCTGCAGATGTTTCTCTGAATCCAGGCAGTACACCACAGAAAATTTTTCCAACTCCACTCACGCCAAGCCAGTGTTATAGTGGTAAAGATTTTGTTCTTCAGTATCAATAGATCTTCTGTTGAGAGATTTTAATTTAATCAAATAAATGAATTGATTCAAAATTGAATCCAACTTAGTGTTTAGAAAATCTTAGCGTTTAGAAAAGAAATGCAGCCTCTTCTTAAATGCCATTTTCATGTTTGTTGAACTACGTTGAGTCACAGCATTAACCTTTTAAACTCTTCAGTTTATCATGATGTGATATGTTTTAAAAGTAGTTTGGTTTCATAATATTCAAAACATCTGTGTTTCTATGTATTTTGATATGTGGGTAACATGAACAGTGTTTTGATCCTTTGTCCTAACAAAAATGTTCTTTCTACTTGGTGTACTAAGATACTCATTTTTAGGTTACCTCTTAAAATGATTATTGATTTGTGACTTCCTCTGTGAAATCAGTTATTGAAAAATTAAGCTGTATTTCATGTGTTTAGGTTCCAAGTATGAAGAATTAAAAGAAAAATATAATAAAGAAGTTGAAGAACGGAAAAGATTAGAGGCAGAGGTTAAAGCCTTTCAGGCTAAAGTAAGTTAATTATGGACCTTATAATAGAGTATGCAAATTATACAAGTACTTTGATATAGGCTACAATCAGGTTAGGGGAAATTTGCTTTACATAGAGCACACATTTTTCTCATACTGAAAAGTTCTTGGCTCATAGGTTATGATTATTTTTTAATTAAAAAAATTAAAACCAAAACCAAACTCACTGCCTCGAGTCAGATCTGACTCATAGTGACCCCTCGGGTTTCCGAGGCTGTATCACTATGGAAGTAGATTGCCCAGCCTTCCTTCTGAGGAGTGGCTGGTGGGTTTGAACCACTAGCCTTCTGGTTAGCAGTCACATGACTTAGGCACTACACACCAGGGCTCCTTAGGAGTAGGTAAAATTGAGTGTGGAGGTTAATTTATCTTCAGATACTAAGTATTCATAGAAGTTTGTAGAAACCACAGACATATAAATATTTCCCTGCTAAGATCTAATGGTAGAGTGTGTTTAGAGTGGGTAGCACCAACATTGTTCCTGATACTTACTGGCTGGCTTTATCACCTGAAGGCAATTATTTGCTCTACGGCCCTTTCTGATGGAATGTGGTGATTCATAGACACAGGCTTTGAGGATCTTGATTTATGAACTGCTTATTTCAGAGGAAAAGGTTATCAACATCATCTCCTTGATCCATTTAAGAGTGTTTAACTCCATTTTTGGTATAGGTAAAGAAGAAGAGAGAGGTGGGTAGAGAGATTTGCCTAATGTCAAAAAAGGAAATGCAGATTTCTAAAGCTTCTGTGTACAGTTCAGGGCCTGACCTTGAAAATATGTGGGGTGTGTCTGTGTATGTTGTTATATATATATGGAGCTCTGGTGGCACAGTGCTTAAGGCATTTGACTGCTAACCAAAAGGCTGGTGGTTCAAATCCACCAGCCACTCCTTAGAAGGAAGACTGGGCAGTCTACTTCTGGCGATACTGCCTCAGAAACCCAGGGAGGGGTCCCTATGAGTCAGGAACGACTTGACGTCAGTGAGTACATATAAAATTTTTTTCCACCATTTCTGTTCATGATACATTATGCACTAAGAAACCCAGTTTGGCACTTAATGACACATTTCTGCCACAAATGAGAACTTGGTGAGATGGCACAATTCTACAATATTTTAATGCTAAATTTATAAGTAGGTTTTGGAAATATCAATGATTTAAGAATCATTATTAACAACCACCTATTTGTTCGAGTTTTGACAACTTAGATTCTTTTTGTGCCTTTATCATCCTCACTGTTTTAAAGTCACTGGAATTCTGATATTTAGTAAAGACATTGCCTAGCAAAACAAATAGAAAATAATTTTCTGGTTTGTCCTAGAAATATCATGTACTTGGTCATCCATTTCAGTTATTTGTACCAATTCTCCCCCTGACATTGATTCCTAGAGTTATTTTATGGAGTAATGTGAGTCTCCATAAACATAAGCCTCTATCTAGCTACAGCAAAAAAAAAAACTGTCTCTGTAAGAAATGTAATACAGCATCTACAACAAAGGCAATTCACAATAGCAGGTAATTCACAGATAGATATTATATAAAACTCCTTTATACAACATTTTTTGGGTGGTGCTATGAGGGAAAGGGAAATTCTTAAAAAGTATTATTTAGGTTGGTAATTTTTATTCTCTGCAGAGCTACAGGGGGATGTGACGTATGATAGACAAAACAAAGCCAGTTTTAGAGTTTAAAATGGCAGTGAATAATCACAGAAGTTTAATGGAGTATATGAGGAATGTAGAATGAATACTGAGACTTGGTGCATTTTAAATGGGTTGAGCCTCAGATGTTACTGCCTTAAATGCTGAGAAAGCTGACTCTTAGAAAATCAGTTACTGTGTCTGGGGCTTGATGGTTTGCTTAACTGGATGAACTTTTTTTTTTTTCCTTTTATAGGTTTCTTAAAAAAATTATTAATTGGGTGAAAATATATTCAAAACATTTAACAATGCAATAATTTACACATGTACATTCAGTTACCTGGATTATATTCTATATGTGTGCAACCCTTATCACTTACCTTTTCTGAATTATTTTGCCACCATTAACTTAAACTCTGTGCCCTTTAAATAGTAACTCCCTCCCACCCTTGCTGATCACTAAAAAGATTTTGTTTCTGTATATTTGCCTATTCTGTGTAAGTGCGGTCATTAAGTATTTATCCTTTTGTGACTGACTTTGTATCAGTTAGCATAATGTTTTCAAGGTTGTATTATGGAATGTTCATCTTTCTTGGTGCATAGTGGAAGTGTTAACTCCTTTTCATTACGGCTTTATATTCTATCTGAAAATAAATAGCTTTTAATATTGAGATTTCTAAAGGATTCTAAAAAGTTTCTGTTTTTGCAGAAAGCAAGCCCTGCTATTCCCCAAAGCACCATGAATCACCGAGAGATGGCTCGACATCAGGCTTCGTCTTCTGTGTTCTCATGGCAACAAGAGAAGACCCCAAATCGTCTCTCTTCTACTGCTCGGAAAACTCCGATCAGGAGAGATTTCTCTGCAACTCGCCTTGCTGAGGAGCAGGAGGTGACTCCAAGTAGACCAACTTTGCATATAGGGAAAAAAGACATGAATAGCAGCTTCTGTGATAATTCTAGCAATTTTCATCTTCTGAATCAACTGAAAGCCCAGAATCAAGGTAACTTTATAAGTTAAATTAATTTAATAGGTGCTTCTGGATTATTTTATTCCTAGAAAACTCTGTGCTTTGTTGTGCACATCAGTGGTCAGCATCCCAGACTGATGCTGAGAAATACCGTCTTTTCAGTAAAGGGTAGAAGATAGCATGATTTTGGAATGTACCTGTATTTTTACTGAGAAAAACTGATACCCTGAAGCTTTCAAAAGTTAGATGAGTGACTGTGACTTGTCTTTCCAGGAGCAAAGCTGGTAGAATGGTTATACTAAGCACTCCTCTTTTGCAGCCCTGTTGTGTTCTTTGACCAACTTTGGCCGGAGGTGTGGCACGTGTTTGCAGAACAGCCTTGCTTTGCAATGCCAGCTTGTCCATATGGGATCAAACCTGTAACCTTGGCTGCTGCGCCATGTTGCAGCTGACAGCCAATAGTACCAGGTGGTGGTTTGGAATCTACTCTGTAGAATATGATAATTTCCAGTGCTATGATATATTGAAAATCACCATCAATGTTCCCTGGTGAGAGCTGTCACACTGCCAGTGCTGTTGGAACCAATTATTGTGTATGTATGGGTGGGGGGTGTGAAAAAAATCATTGTTAATTTTGGCAGTATAGGAGGTTCACATTGTTATGACCTTTACTGGAGGTGAAGCTATCAGGGAATATTTGAGGGTGATTTTTTTTTTTTAAACTGTTCAGCACTAATTTGCATTCATAAGGGCATAAAACAAATGTCCGTCTGCCAGTATATAAAACCAAATGGTGATTTCAGCGAAGGGTGATATATATGATGTACTTTTTGCAATCGAAATAAAACACTACAATTTTAGGAAAGCATTTCCCTTCCCAAGTTTCTCTGAAAAAGTAAGAAAATCTATTTTGCCTGTTTTCTGTAGGGTATTTGAATGCAAATGACAATAGAGACTAAACATTGAAAACCAACTAAAGTAGTTCTGTGCTTAATGTGGGAGCTCTGGTGGCATAGTGCCTAAGGCATTTGACTGCTAACCAGAAGGCTAGTGGTTCAAACCCACCAGCCACTCCTCGGAAGGAAGGTTGGGCAATCTACTTCCATAGTGATACCACCTTGGAAACGCAAGGAGGGGTCGCTATGAGTTGGATCTGACTCCACGGCAGTGTGTTGCATTGTTGAGTTGTATGCTTAATGTAAACTGATAAATATTTGTCTCACTAGAGATGTCAGAGCAGGGTAATAAAAAAGATAAATTCTGCATTTAACTTTAAAATTTTTGCAGAAAATATGTATTGACTGAAGTGATTTTTGTTTGTGATTTTAGAGCTAAGAAGCCAAATTAGCGAATTGGAACTAAGTCTACAAGGACAACACAAAGAAATGAAAAGCCAAGTGAATAAACTTCAAGAGCTTCAACTCCAACTGGAGGCAGCGAAAGTAGAATTAATTGACAAAGAGAAAGTTTTGAACAAAAATAGGGATGAACTTGTGAGAACGACAGCACAGTATGACCAGGCTTCAACTAAGGTACTTGACTTTTGTGTGTTACTGAAAAATGTCTATCTCATCATCCAGTTCTTTGAAAAAGAAAAAGAGTACTTTATACTTAAATTCATGAAATTTTTTTTTAAAATTTTTTATTGTGATATGAGTTCAACATTATGCAGCAAATTGGTTTTCCACTCACCTATTCATACACAATTTGTAGCACTGAATGCAGTCCCCACAGTGTTAACAGCACACTTTTTTACTTCCTCTCTTCCTGTGTTTACCATTTCTATTTGTCCTTCTTTCTTATCCATTTCTTCCTTCTGAGCTTTATCTCTGGGCAAATACTTCCCTTTGACCTTGTATTGTTGCTTGTTCTAAGGAATGTACCTACCTGGTATTATTGTTCACCTTGTAGGCCTGTGTATAGTTTGTCTGAAAGGTGAGCTCTGGGAGTAAGGTCAGTTCCAGGTTTGAAGGGTGACTAAGGGCCAAAGTCTCGGGGATTTCACCAGTCTCTATCAAACCAATAAGCCTTTTTTTTTTTTTAATTTGAGTTTCAGTCCACATTTTTCTCCAACTCTGTCCAAGACCTATTGTGATCTGATCCTTTCAGAGCAGTTGAGTGGTAGCCAGGCACCTGGTCTCAGGGTCATGGAGGCTAAGGTTCATATGCTGTTGTTGTTGTTATGTGCTGTCAAGTCAGACCTGACTCATAGCAACCCCTCCTTGGGTTTCTGAGGCAATATCACTATGGAAGTAGATTGTCCCATTTTCCTTCCGAGGAGTGGCTGGTGGGTTTGAACCGCCAGCCTTCTGGTTAGCAGTCAAGTGCCTTAGGCACTATGCTACCAGAGCTCCCTAGGTTCACATGCTAGGAAATTAAAAAGAATTTTTGATTTCCTTCACTCTTCTTTGCTCTGGACAGGGAGAGCCCAGTAGTTGCACCTTAAATGGTCCCATGCAAACTTTAAGACTTCAGTTACTGCTCACCAAATATACTAGACAGACAGCGTTGATATAATTGAACTAGTAAGATGTTTTAGATTTGGGCCAGTGAAGGGTCAAATCCTGGCTGAGTGACCTAGCTGACTGACTCTGGGCAAGTTACTGATCTCTTTTATGTCTCAAAATATGGTTAAAAATAAAGATAATGCAACACCTAAGGAGAACCTGGTGGTATAATGGTTAAGTGCATGGCTGCTAATCAAAAGGCTGGTGGTTTGAATCCACCTAGGCATTCTGTGAGAGAAACACCTGATGGTCTGTTCCTATAAAGATTGCAGCCAAGAAAACCCTATGAAGGAGTTATTCTGTCACATGAGATCACTATGAGTTGGAATCGACTTGATAACATCCAATACAATAGCATATGTAGTACTTGGCATAATCAACAGGCACTTACAGTAAATTTTAGGACATGTGGTAGGATTTAGGTTGATCGAGTCTTGGGATCCAGTATATACACTCCTGCCATTTAATCTTTGTAAGACTCCAATTAAGGCCAAGCTTCTAAATCTGTTACTGGAGATGCTTTTTTTTAAAATTTTTTGTCGAAGTGTATATAATATATGGTTTGGCCTCAACCTACTTCAGTCTTTTCTTTTTCTATGATTCATTTACTCACTCCTTTGATAAGTGTTTATTAAGTTCCTGCTATATGCCAGACAGTATTCCAAGTCCCTTGGGGGTGGAACAGTGAGAAAGAAGACAAAAATCATAGCTTCCTTGTAATTGTGGGAGGTAGAATATTACAAAAATAAATGAGTAACATAGTATGGTATGTGGTGATAAGTGTTGTGTAGGAAAATGAATTACCCTCTAGGACCAACCATAGATGTGTTTTCTGAACATAATCTCTAGGCCTGATGCTTTGCTCACACTTGCCCTTCTGCTTGAAATACCTTCCTCTTCAGGTGTAACTCTTGGCATCTTTCTTGTCTTTGTGAAATCCTCCCTTCATCCTTTATTGCGTGTAATCTTTTTCTCCTGACACCCTTTATGACTGTTTTTTGCTGTTCTGTATGTTGTAGACCTATGGTTTCCACACTTGGCTATTATCACAATCAAAGGGAACCTTAAAAAAATTAATCTTATTAGACCCATATCTGAGGTAGGCTGAGGAAATTTACTTTCTTTTCTTTCCCCCCCAGATATATGTTGTTGTTGTTGTTATGTGCCGTCGAGTCGGCCCCGACTCATAGGGACCCCTCCTTGGGTTTCCGAGGCAGTATCACTACGGAAGTAGGATTGCAAACCTTCCTTCCGAGGAGTGGCTGGTGGGTTTGAACCGCCAGCCGTCTGGTTAGCAGGCAAAGTGTCTTAGCCACTATGCTACCAGAGCTCCCCAGATATATATATATATATATATTTTTTTTTTTTTGTGGCAATATACACAGTCAGTCATACATCCATTCAGTAATTTGTACATGCACAGTTCAGTAATTTTGGCTACATACTTCACATTGTGTCATCATCATTCCCACTGTCTCTATCCATATTGTTTCATCACTAATTTAGGCTCTCTGCCTCTTAAAGTTCTCATCTGTGCTTTAGATTAATTGTTGTCAGTTTACACTCATAATAATTCTTTATAAGATAGGGAATTTACTTTTAATAAACGCTGTAGGTAGATTTGAGGCAGTCGATAAAAGCCATTGCAGTAGACCTATTTTTCCTATTTGCTTCCAGCAGGCAGTTTGCTCCTTCTTCTTCTTTTTTTTTTTTAATGGAATTTTTTTTTTTTTTTAAATTTTTAGATTGTTATAGATTAATATGTGGTTTTAATAAAAGTCTGTGAATATGATGGATTACATTTGATTTTTTTGGACATTGAACTAGCTTTGCATCCTTCAAATAAACTTTTAGTATTGGTTATGATGTATAATTCTTTTTATATATTTTTGAGTTTTATTTGCTCATAATTTGTTAAGGATTTTTGGTTCCATATTCTTGGATATTGGTTTGTATTCTTTTTCTTTTTTTTTTTTTTGTATTGTCTTTGTCTGGTTTTGGGCCAGTGTTCTCTCCTTTTATTTTCTGAAAGACATCATGTAAAGTTGGTGCTAATTCTTCTTTAAACATTTGGTAGAATTCTCTAGTGAAAACATCTAGGCCTATAGGATTGGCAGATGATGTTTCTACATGCGTATTTGTATGTGCTGTAAGAATGTCTGGGTGAATAGAAGAGCTGATAAGGGACAAGGATATAGTGGTTTCTTGGCCACAGCCAGCTACCCTGAAGGGAGTGAGTAGTTGGACTTGTGGGCTCGGGACCATGGTCCCAGGGGACATCAGGCTCAATTGACATAATTTACTACACAAAAACCTTGTTCTACATCCTACTTGGGTGAGTAGTGACTGGGGTCTTAAAAGCTTATAAGTGGCCATCTAGATGCAATGATGGGTCTCTTCTTATCCAGAGCGAAGAAGAATGAAGAAAACTAGGGAGGCATTGAAACAGTTAATCCAGGTGACCGGTAGACCAGGCGATCCTCAGCCTATATATATGACCATGAGATGACTGGCTGGTACCCGGTGTGGTGTAGTAAATTACTTAGTGTGGCTTTTCTACCCATAAGTCTTTGTAAACTCCAAGATGGGGTTTTCTATGAGCAACTGAGGAGCTCCTGATTGCTAAAGTTGTCCACCTGTAGTATTTCTGTTGGTAGTGGCACAAAACAATGTTCTGGGAGGTGCCCACTCTCTCTCAAGTGCTTAGAGTTCTGATGCTATGATTGGCTAGTTTGACCACTCTGCCGGGCTCAAAAGGAGGCCTCCTAGAGGCAGAACTCTCTCTGACTGCTGATTGAGGAAGACGTCCTGCTGAAAGAGACACGGGCTCCTGAGACACGCGTTGCTGGGAAAGAGACGCAAGAGACATGCATCGCTGAGTGAGACACCGAGGGACCAGCCCTGCTGGGAAAGAGACTGTGAGAGACTGTTGGCTGAGGGACAGTGGGCTGGGAGAGAGACTGAGCATTTTTTCCTAAACTTGAATTGTAGCCTGTGGTGCTTCCCTAATAAACGCCATAATCTGTGAGCTCTGTGTGGCCACTGCAGCGAATTATCGAACCCAGGAGAGAGGTGGTGGGTGCTTTGAGAGGAACGGTTGGTGAAAGGGCTGGAGGGAGGCAGCATGTCTGGCCTGGCAGGAATAGGCCTTGGGTTATTGATGATGAGTCTGTCTTCCTCTTGTGGGGTTAGAGGAGGTCAGAACATGTGGCCTCTTTGCCCTTTTTGCACCCGGCCGCCACTGTCAACCACTTGGAGGGGAATCAGTTTAGGGGAGATCCTGGATGGAGTAGGAGAACAATGTGGAACAAAACTAAAAATCATTAAAGAAAAAAGACCACGTTTGCTGGTCTGAGAGAGCCTGGTGAGACCCCTGAGACTATGGCTTCTGGTTATCTGTCAGGTGTGGAACTGAACTCACTCCTGCGGCTACCAGCCAAATAAAAGACAGGCATATAGGGTGAACATTTACATCAGGTAGATACACTCTTTGGAGTGATCAGTCAATCAGTTGATCAGTAGTGGGGGAATGTAAGGGCATTGCTTGCACAGGGAGAGATGGCTTGGGTGGTGGGAGTGCATGGGAGGGAAGGACACAGGGAAGAGCTGGGTACGGGGAAGAAGTGGGAAGAGAGCTGTCACATTGTGGGGAATTGCGGTCAATGTCCTGAAACAAAATGTGTATGAACTGCTGTGTGGAAAATGAATTTGCTCTGTAAACTTTCACCCAAATCACAATAAAAATTAAAAAACAAAACATAAACTTCTGGGCCTGAAGATTTCTTTTTTTGGGAGTTTTTAAATTATAAATTTAATTTCTTTAATTGTTGTGTGCTGTTGAGTTGATTCCAACTCATAGCAACTCTGTATGACAGAGTAGAGCTGCCCCACAGGCTATCATCTTTATGGGAACAGACTGCTACATCTTTCTCCTGGAGTGACTCAAAGGTTGGGACCACTGACATTTCTGTTAGTAGCCAAGTGTTAACCATTGCACTACCAGGCTTCGCTCTAATTGTGATAGT